GGAAAAATCAGATAAAATATGTGGTAGGTGAGAAAACAATATGATCACAAGTAATGAATCACAAAATCACTGGAACGAGCTCACCAGAATGAAAATGCAAATGCTTAAATGGGTTTCTGCTTTCCTAGAGTGCAGAGAACAGTGTGTACGCGTGGGGCGTAGCCTTCGCTTAGACAAGCTGTTCTTAGTGGTGTTCCGCAGGGCTCGGTTTTAGGGCCGTTGCTTTTCGCAATTTATGTAAATGATCTACCCCAAGAGCTTGGAGTACCGTCGCTATTGTTTGCTGATGACCTCAAGCTCTGGAATATTGTGGATATCCCTGGTGGCTCTGAGGCACTTCAGAGTGCTTTGGATAGGCTCTGGGATTGGTCAAACTTATGGTTGATGCCCATAAATCAGGCGAAATGTTCTGTCCTCCGCATTGGAGGTGCTAGTCCCCCCACGCGCTATGTAGTTGGTGGAAGTGAACTCCCTGTTGTCATTCAGCAGGTTGATCTAGGTATCACCCATACCTCATTGCTTCACTCTGGGGAAAATTGGAGGAAGGCTGCTTGTAGAGGGTTCCGTATGATGTGGTTTATTCGCCGCTCCTTCGGTGTCCTAACGGCCAATATCTTTGTGAAGCTGTTCTCAGCTTTCGTGCGACCTCACTTAGAATATTGTATCCAGGCTTGTCCATTTTGTCTTGCAAGGGACAAAATGGAACTGGAGAGGGTTTTGCGAGTGGGTACAAGGTTAGTGCAAGGATTACGGGGGCAAACGTATCCCGAACGTTTGCTTAGCTTGGGTATGTACTCAATGCACTACCGCAGAATTAGAGGAGACTTGATTCTCACTTACCGTATCTTAACGGGTAAGATCGGTCCAGACTTGTCCTGGCTATTTAGTCCCGCCAAGCTGCCTAGTCTCCGAGGTAACCCGTTGAGGCTGCACAAACAGCGTTCTGACCGGGTAAGGACGGAAACTCGCTTGTCGCGTCGAGTTATTGAACGTTGGAACTCGCTTCCGGCGCACGTGGTTAGGGAGTCTACGGTAGAGGGTTTCGAGCGTCAGTTAGATGCTCTAGGGTGGCAGTACCAAACCTTCCCCTTCTTCTAACCAACTTGTATCTTCAACTTTCCCTTCGTTCTTTTTTAATTTTCTTCTCACCTTGGTATTATCATTATTTAGCTGACATTCCTCCTCTTCTTTTCTCAGCTTACCCTTCACATTTTTACTTCACATAAACCGGCCCGGCAGGGACTGCTGGGCAGGAAAATGTGGGCAGTACTTGGTTGGACAGGGTGTGATGTGGTCTTTGTTTTAGGCTTTTCAACATCTCAAGCAGACCTGTCAATTCCCGATCCAACGATACGCAAAAGAAGGAACATTTACGGGATTATCCTATCGTTCCGGTCCCGGACCGGGATCAGGTCAGGTCAGGTCAGATGGACGATAGAGGCTTCCGCCTAACGAGCGTCCAGTTCTTGTGCCGGTAAGTGAAGCGACCCCCGGCACTTCGACGTTGGATTGTCTCTTCTTGCTTCTGCAATGGAATGAAGCAAGAACAAGAGCAATCTCTGCACTTTCATATGCCAGCATCAAAATACACTACATATTAAGGTACAACTACAATATCTCTGGAAAAAGGATGGACCAACAATTGTCTAAGCCCCTTTTGAAGGCTTCTACGGTCTCAGACTCCACTAAATCAGAAGGAAGTTTATTCCAGTAGTTAACTACCCGGTTCGTAAAAAACTTTGCCCTGATGTCCAAACGAGCTCTGTGATGTTTAAGCCTCAGGCGATGCCCGCGCAGATGGTCTGACGTAGCCAGTTCAAACAGATGGGTGGAACTAATACCACTAAGTCCCTTAATGATCTTAAACGTCTCTATCAAATCCCCTCTCAACCTACGCCGTTCCAGAGAAAATAATCCTAAGCTACTTAGACGATCTTCATAAGACTTCCCTCGTTGACCTTCAATCATCCTGGTCGCAAGTTTCTGAATCTTTTCTATACAAGTGATGTCACTACGGAGGTACGGTGACCAGGCTTGAACGCAATACTCCAGATGTGGCCTGACCACTGCTTTATATAAGGGCAAGAATACTTCTGCTTTAGTGTTACTCAGCGCCCTCCTAAGACGAAATAATTCGTGTCGTGCTTTATTGGCAGCATGGCGACACTGTGCCGAAGGCTTAAAATTGTTCGCTACGATGACACCTAGATCACGGGCTTCGTCAGTGCACCGCAATGATAGAAATCCCACAGGAGACTGAACTGCAATTCCGTTACCACTACTAGTCAATAGTTGACATTTGTTGGCATTTAGAGGTAGGTCCCATTGACTTGACCAATTCACCACAGTGAGGATGTCCTTAGCCAATGTCGCACGGTTTCCCCTACTGACCAGCTTCAAGTCATCTGCGAAGATGTAGCAGGGGTCCTCAAGAAGAGGAGCCAGGTCATTTATAAACATAAGAAATAGCAATGGACCCAGAACCGAACCTTGAGGGACACCACTGTAGGCATGACCAACACTAGAACTCGCTTCCCCAACGCTGACTCTGAATGTCCTTCCACGTAAGAATTCAGAGAGCCATAGTAGTAGTTGAGGATGCAATCCAAACCATGTCAGCTTCTCAATTAAAAATCGATGATTCACGGAGTCAAAGGCTTTACTGAAGTCTAAATAGCACACCTCTACCGATATCCCACGATCAAGACAACGGGTAATCTCGTCCAAAAAGCACAATAAATTGGTAAGACAAGACTTCTTTTTGAGAAAACCATGCTGTTCCGCTCTAATTAGATTGTGCTCAGTCAAGTGCTCACAGATCCTGTTCCTTATAAGCTTTTCCAAGCATTTCAGCATGATGCTGGTCAAACTAACAGGTCTATAGTTAAGAGGCACCGACTTAGAACCCCCTTGTGGATGGCAACAATAGTCGCCTCCTTCCAATCACGTGGCAGCTTGCCTTCTTGAAGAGACTGGTTGAATAACTCCACTACGGGATACTGGAGGATATCAGCCAGAGGCTTAACTATGGCAGGATGTACGCTATCAGGACCGGCTGATTTATAAGGGTTCAAATTGGCCAGCACTGTGAAGACCTCTGACACATTGAGAATAATTTCCCGCATTGTGTAGCTAGTTGAGCAGTGCGGTAGTGATGGCAAGGCTGACCCACTATCCTTCCGATGCAGGCTTTGGTAGACATGTAGCAGCACTTCTACTTTATCGACGTCGTCTACAGCCTGGGTACCGTCCTCCATGGTTAGACAGCCGACCACCTCTCTTAAAGAAGCCTTTGACTGGACATAACTGTAATAACACTTGGGATTAGTTTTCGCAAGTTTAGCCAACCTAAGCTCATATGAGTACTTCGCCTGCCGCTGTAACTTAATAGCCATGTTTCGACACCTTTTGTACTGCAGCCAGCGTCGAAAGCCCCGAATTTCTTGATATTTTCTCCACTCAGCATTGCGCCTCTTTATCGCTCTATCAATTTTTCTTCTCCACCATCGGGGTTTCCCAAGATGTCTCCTAGGGCGAAGAGGAGCAAATTCGTTCAGCAACTGTACAAGTCCACTTTTAAGTAGAAGCCACCTCTGTTCCAAAGTGGCCTTGTCCTGTTCAGGGACCCAAGTGATTTGAAGGGCTCGATCCCGCAATTTCGTAAAATCAATACGAGTTAAATCTCTTCCCATTCGACGGTTCTCTGCAAGCCTCGGTGTGTCCAGAGAAAAGGTCAAAACACAATGATCACTCTTACCTATAGGTGGCTCCACGCATAGGTCAGTTAAGTGACCATGTCTGGCGATCACGATATCAAGGGTTGAAGGGGTACTCCCAGGACGACTTCTAGTCGGGACATTGACGTATTGCTCGAAGGCATTTACGTGCATCCAATCTACTAGTTCCTTCTCTAAAGTACCCACTCTGTTTTCAGCATGCTGCCAATCAGCATGCGGAAGGTTTAGGTCACCGACGATCAGAAAATTAGGTGCGGCTATTGCCGCCTGTCTTAGTAACATACCAAGATCCCTGTCCTCTTCTCGGGTAGAGGATGGGCTACGATAAACACATACTATAATCTCCAATTTACCCCATGCTCTTAGATAGCAGGATACCGCCTGAACATTAGCAGAACTCATGGTAAATGGAGCCTCCCAGTGTTTATATTGGCACCTTATAAGCAAGAGTACTCCTCCACCGGTCTGATACCCGGGCCTGTCAGCCCTGTAGCACGCAAAGTCTATAAGCAGATCACCAATAAAGTCATCTGAAGAGAGCCAGGACTCGGACACAGCGGCCACATCAACATGCTCACAACGTGTCACTAATTCCCCCCATTTGTTGCGCACACTACAACAATTAGTGTACCACACGCTTAGTCTCTCCGAACGCGGTTGTTTCCCCTCGGACGTAGAGCCCGAGGGGATAACCCGTTTTTTTGTACCATTTCATTTCGATCAGCTGCCTGAGTCGATGAATCAACGCTGGGCTGCTGTAACGCATTACGGGATAATCCCTTTCCTGGCTTCGCCCGCCTGGGCTTGCTGGATAAACTCCCGATGGGTTTCCTCCCATTTACCTGAGTCGACCTAACAGCACTGCACTTCGGATTATCTGTACGGTCCAATTTAGGTGTGGCAAGTTTTTCATTTATCCTATCATTTTGTGAAAAGGGCATACCACCCATGGACTTTGGTGCCACTACTGTCGAGCATGAGGCCTCGATTGTTTTTGAACGCACCGGCTGAAGTCCCATTGCCACACCTTCACTGCCCTCTTCCGCCATAGAGGTGTGATTCACATTTCCATCAAGAGCAAGTTTCTCCACAACCAAATGCAGGCCAGGAGTTATCTCGCTGGCGTCTTGTGAAGGGGGTTGACCAGACAAACTGACTGCTCTTGCCACAGGAGAGCAAACGCTAGAGTTTTTCTTAGGTGTCTGCATAACGTGAGGCTCACTATCATGAATTCCAACGTGTGAGACCGCAGATTCGTTAGCCAAGCTGGTACTAGTATCTTCTAACCGGCTCAGCCGAGGAGCTTTAGCCTTCGAAGTTAGTGTGTCCGGTGCTATTTGATACCGACCATTTGTCTGACTTGCAACCAATCCAGCCCTGTTAAGTAGAAGGTCCCGGTGTATAGGGTTCCGAAACTCAACCAGGATAGGCCTTGCATAACCTTGGTGGCGGAGCATACTTGTTTCTCTCCAGCTGCCAACACGATGTACTCTCTTGATACCAACGTATAACGGTAATCCGGCTATACGAAGGATATCGTGCACTCGCCTTCTGTCTAGGTCCCGTCGAGTTTTAGTTTCTCGTATGACTGGCTCCTCCCTATTGTAGATAAGAACGTTTCGTTGTCTACCCATAGCAAGTTCAGCACTTCGCAAGTAACATTCCAATGAAGACTGCAACTCTTCAACTTTTGAACGCAATGTCTCAATTAGCAAGCTCTGGTCACGAATCAACTTCTCGGCACTGTCTAGTCTATGCACACAGTTCCTACTAGGGGACTCATGCACATCTGAGACATGAGTAACTGAATCAAAAGTCCGATCGTGTATCAATCGAGAACCAATGTCTGCTAAGCACACGCAGTGGAAGCAAATCCACTTTAATTGGGAATGTCGGGCATAAAGATCAATAGAGTCCTGGTCTAATCTAGAGCAGTTGTTATGGTACCATAACAAGCATCTGTCGCACTGGATTCCCTCTTTGACCTCAACGCCACAAGTGTGCTCACCACATTTATAGCCAGCCACCGATGTCATTACAAATAGCACGTAACAGCTCCGTATAGAATAATAAAGATAGGTAGTTTGGTTGGATTAACTGACCAAATTAATGCAGGTATGACGGCTTAAGATGAATAAGTAGTCAAAACAAGTTAATACAAAAGAGAATACAACAATATTGAATAAAAATATAAACACAGCGAATTAACACGACCAAAAAGAACACAAAGAGAAGCAATACTGGAACAAACTCACGCGGTTACCGAAGATCCAAGATATCCTGGATCAATATTTGATGGAGCAGAGTAAAGATTTCCCACTCAGTCAGTTTAGATCACGCTTCCAAGCCAAATTTGAAGGTAGAAACTTCAAGATAGAGCTTTTTCAAAATTTCAAAGCGCGCGACCTGGAGATTCCCCCGTATGACTGTGTAAACTATGCTAAAATATTCAAATTATAGCTTTCTTATGTATTAGGGAACCATTCGGTTTGCCTGTTGGAACGTTGTTCCCGTTGGTTGGAAACACGAAAACGATCTCCGCTTTTGGCGCGCGGCCCGAGTGCGAACGACGCGCCGTCTACGCTCTCGACGCCAACGACATTCTCCCTAGCTAGCTCTCTCCGGGTGCCCTATTTTTAGCATTAGCTAACGCTCCTTCCGTCCAATAAACTTCTCCCATAGCTTACTTTTGTGTCTTCTGCCCATTGCTTTTGGTTGGCCGTCTAGTGGCGTACCGGAGGGACTGTGTGATTGGAAGTCGGAAAAACTGGTATGGTTTCGGTAGGTTCCGTGGTACAAATCGTACATAGCAACGGTTGCGTAGCGACATTGCTAAGGTGGATGATGTGTGAAGATGGCAAACTAGGCTTTGAAAATGACATTGTATGTGAGTTACGATGCTTTATAAATGATACCCTGTACTGGTTCATGTGGGAGTATTTGTTTTGGTTTTTCGGTCGCCATACTTGTTTTTCCTGCTATCGGCATGGTTGTCGATGATAGTGCGCTGTTCAGGTCTATGGTTATTGGGAAGTATGAAAGTGTAGAGGACCTTGTGAAGCGGGTGCAACGTTTTCAGATTGCGACGGCGACTTGTTTTTCCCGTGCATGTTCGAAGTCTGCTGCGGCATACCATCGTGGAAGGAGGAAGCCGGTTCCCGATGGGGAACGCTGCGGTTACATCATGTACCGTTGCGTTCATCGTAAACGTTCAGCACCACGTGGCAAGCGGTAAGTTGTGTTAATCTTTTGCATCAAGGCTACTAACGCATGTAGATACAAATCATACGATTGCAAGGCTCGGTTCTCGGTGGTTTTGAAAGATGGGAAATATGTCGTTGGGAGTTACGTCATGACGCATAGTCATGATTTTCATGTTGGCAACCCATGGTTGTATGCAGCGAACCGTCGTCTGTCTCCGGAGCAAGAGAGGGAAGTTCTGCGTTTGATGGGCAGTTTCCATAGTACCCCGGATTTGCGTCATTTTATTTACTTGGAGTACGGAAAAATGGTAACTCGTCTCGACCTGTACAATTTGCGGATTCGTCATCGCAATGGCAATGCTTGTGAAGTGTCTGATGTGTCAACGATGTTGCAAGAGCACGGTGCGTGTCGGTTGGTGTCCGAGGGCAGTCAAATACGTTACGTGTTTTTCTCTCCATCCTTAGTTGGCGGCATTGTAAGTCGTTATTGTGAGGTGATTTTATGCGATGCGACCCATCAACTGAATTATGGCGGCTACGTTTTGTGGCACTGCATGCTGGTCGATGTCACCGGTCTGGGCATTTCCTTTTTCTATGCCCTATTACCGGATGAGACATCCTACAGCTATGGGCAGGCGGTTGAGGCGATGCGGGATATGGTGCCTAGCACCTTACGTTGCCGCACGGTGGTAATGGATAAATGCGCTGCTCAGATCCGCGCTTTCAGACGATTTTATCCGGACGCGAAGGTAGTTTTTTGTCGTTACCACGTGAAAGTGGACATGTCTAGACGTTGCGGCCGCTTACGCGGGATCTCTGATCCGCGTAGAATGCAATTACGAGGTTGGCTGCATAACCTCATATACACACGAGACGCCTCGGTGTTTGACAGCATACTGAACGCGGTGGGCAGGGCGTCTCCTGAATTGTACGGTTATTTGTGCTCGACGTGGATTCCCCACGCCGACTCTTGGGCGGCGCACAGACTCAGGGATACCATTCTATTTGGTTGCCACACCACCAACAGGGTGGAGAATGAAAACCGACATTTGAAGGAATACCTGTCTGAGAGGTCATCCCTACTCACCCTATTCAATTGCGTGGTTGATAGGGTGAACACACTGGTGCACCGAAGGAACAGCATACTAGGTAGGCGGTGCATGAGCGAAATTGCTGTTCCATCGGAGGTGTCCTCAGTCGCATCAGTATTCTGCAAACTAAGCGACTTTGCGGGGGATGTTTTCATGCAGCATTTCCGTACCTCGACGGTTCTCAGTTGTAGGGCTGATGGGCCTTACTGGTTGGTGAACTGTCCTCGTTCGAGAGTGCGCAGAGTGTACATAACGCGGGGCAGTGAATGCGATTGTGAGTTTCATCGGCAGTGGCGGCTGCCATGTGCTCACATTTGTTATGTGGCGGCTCGGCACCCTCACGCTGCGCGGAACATACTTCATGGATGTCGCTGGATCGCACCCCGGCTACCTGCAGCAGCGTCATCGGAGTCCGTTGCGTCAGCTGAGAGGGTGCAGATTGTGCAACGTAACGCGGAGGATGGCGATGCAGTTTTGAACCGCACCTTGAAACTTCGCAGGACGCAGCATGTCTTAGGGGACATTGGTGCTCAACTGGTTACCTACGGCTCGCAGAACTTCTCAGGTGTCTTGAATTACCTCAAAATGGTTGCCTTGCTGATGTCCAAGGACCCCACTTTCCAGTTGTATGGGCGAACCTCAAGGTGGCCTGTACCCCTTCATTTGGATACCGAGGAGAACGTGCGAATGTTATGCGGCTTTCCTACTGCGGGGACGTCTGCTGCTGGCTCAGCGTCTGCGGTCTGCCCGACGTCGACGGGAGAAGCGGTTGGCCCTTCGCAAGGTACGCAAGTGAATGAGGCGGTGCGTGGGAATGAAACCGAAACACCTGTACCATCCACATCCACAGGTGTGTCCAGGAAACGGAAATCGCCCCTTAAGTGCAGGGTGACAGAGGTCAGCCCGGATAAGAGTGCGCTAAGGGGCAAACGATTCCGTATCCTTCGCACTCGGACATCCAGGGGCTACCGTGTTCCTGTGAGCCAGAGACGGGGAACTCAGGGCTTCCTTTCGAAGGATTTGTGCGGAGTATGTCAGCAAGAGGAGGATGTTGATGGCGATGGAGAATCGGTGCAATGGGTACAGTGCGACGCGTGCTCCCACTGGTACCACGCGTCCTGCGTGTGCTATTCCGGTTCGGAGGAATTTCTGTGCTTCTCGTGCTCGTCCTAAGGTAACCGTAACGTGCCTCATCGCCGTTGCATGGCACACCGCTCAGGTATGTACCTTATATGTGCGCTAACCGTGATTTCATTTCCGTTATAGCATGCTGCCTTTACTTCCCCTTGATATCAACACCTTTGATTTTCAATGGAACAATGCACCGATACATGTGCAGCACGGAGGAAACGTGCAACGGTAAGTTACTACTGGTATTCCGTTTACGGACGGTCGTTTAGGCACCGTAATGCGGTTGTCATGTATGCAGTGGGTCAATGGCAGGGCATGAGCTATTACGTACCGGTAGGTAGATGGATAAATGTGTGTAACACATGCTGACAGGACGTAAAATTTCCTGGAAGCATCCTCGCATTTATTTTCTTCCGTTGCTTGATGCTTGTCCATTATCACGGGAACGCATACACACGGAGAAATGTTATTCCATTACGCGCTGTCATATGTCATCGGAGGTAAGAAATAGGATACATGTGTGATTTTGTGCTGCAGTTGAACCCACCTGTAACCCCGATGGTGTGCTGATCAATGTGGTACACGGAGCTACCTTGGTCGCTTTGCCAATGTCATGTGAACCTGCCATGACAGCATTTCCCAGGTAAGAAATCCGGTTTATGTGCAGTGGTGTTTAACAGTGAAGCCCACATGCACCCCCATACGCTGCGCATTCTCTGGCGCCAATGAGGCACCTGTGACGGATTCAACACCGCAATGTCAACCTGCAGTCGGAGTTGCTCACAGGTAATGAAAACCATACTGCTGTCATGTGTTATTATAATGAAGCCCATACGCACCGCCCAATGATTGTTCTGTCACTGCCGCTACGTACCTGACTCCCACGCATCGCCCACCGCTATGTTCACCTTCAATCGCACTTGTTCGCAGGTAAGGGACGCCATTGTTCTGTAATATTGCTTTACAGTGATGCCCACATGCACCGCCCAATGATTGCCCATTCACTGCCGCCGCCTACCTGACTCCGACGCATCGCCCACCGCCATGTTCCCAGGTGAGCGACGCCATTGTTCTATAATGTTACTTTACAGTTTAGCGCACATGCACCGCCCAATGCTTGTCCATTCACTGCCGCCGCCTACCTGACTCCGACGCATCGCCCACCGCCATGTTAACCTTCAATGCCACCTTGTCACAGGTAAGGGACGCCATGCTTCCGTAATGTTTCTACAGTGATGCCCACACGCACCGCCCAATGATTGCCCATTCACTGCCGCCGCCTACCTGACTCCGACGCATCGCCCACCGCCATGTTAACCTTCAATGCCACCTTGTCACAGGTAAGGGACGCCATGCTTCCGTAATGTTTCTACAGTGATGCCCACACGCACCGCCCAATGATTGCCCATTCACTGCCGCCGCCTACCTGACTCCGACGCATCGCCCACCGCCATGTTAACCTTCAATGCCACCTGGTCGCAGGTAAGGGACGCCATTGTTCTGTAATGTTACTCTACAGTTTAGCGCACATGCACCGCCCAATGCTTGTGTATTCACTGCCGCCACGTACCGGACTCCGACGCATCGCCAACCGCCATGTTCACAGGTAAGCGACGGCATGCTTCCGTAATGCGTGCGTGATGAGTGCAGAACTTCCCTCTCACACCCGGATGTGTGTTGTCCGCTGTATCGCCATGGGTACCACCGAGCACCGGTGAATCATCATGTCACCTTGCCAGGTGAGTGCGGTCTTCGATTACTAACTGTCGTAGGCTTTCCCACGTTGTATCGCAATTGCCACGGTTTGCCGCGGGCTGGGGAGAACAAGTTGCCGTCGCATCTGTATGTGGTGTAGGTCCTCCGGTTCTCACCTTTTTGCTGCTGTGAACGACCCAACGGCCCTTTTCAGGGCCACCCCTGTTCTATGTCCCCGCGTCTCCCCTAAACGGGTTGCAGCACGGGAAACATACGTTCAGAGGTGGGGTCCGTAACCGTCGGAACTTCAATTGTCAGTCACCATGCACTTCACTTTATGTTAATGTTTGACACATCATTGTGTATTTTGTGCGTATCAGCCCTGGGAAACCATTTTCCAGTGTTCACCCTTGGTGGGTTCAGAGCTAGATGCACGCTCACTCACCTAGCGGTGGACATTTCTAAATGGTCCAAACGTCCGTCATGTTCATAGGCAGTATTTCACCGATATCACTAACCATTGACCTACAACGCCGGCTATCACGTATAACGGTAACTTGCTCGCGCAGAATTCGAGCACATGCTTGAACTAGGCATCGTTCGCCCGTCTAAAAGTCCCTGGGCGTCGCCGCTCCACATGTTGCCCAAAAAGTCAGGAGACTGGCGTCCATGTGGTGATTACCGCGCGCTCAATAACGTTACTGTTCCCGACCGATATCCGATTCCTCACATTCAGGACATTACGGCAAGCCTGCGCGGCGCCCGTGTGTTCTCGAAAACCGATCTGGTTCGCGCGTATCACCAGATTCCAGTCGCTGAGGAAGACATACCGAAGACTGCTGTAATCACACCGCTCGGGCTGTACGAATTTTTGCGTATGCCGTTCGGTCTTCGCAACGCAGCCCAGACTTTTCAACGACTCCTCGATTCAGTCACTAGAGGTCTAAATTTCGTTTGTGCATACATCGACGATATCCTAGTTGCCAGCGCTTCTAAAGAACAGCACGCAGAGCATCTCAAAATACTTTTCGATAGGCTGGCCGCTAATAGCATCACTGTCAACCCTGACAAATGCGTATTTCAGCAGCCTTCCGTCGAATTCCTTGGCCACCATATTGATCAGTATGGTATACGGCCTCTAGACGATAGAGTCCGCGCCATCAGAGACTTTCCGGTTCCGACTACGTTAGCCGCTATTCGCCGTTTTAACGGCATGCTCAACTATTATCGACGTTTTCTTCCACACTGTGCCAATTTGCTAAGTCCACTAACCGACCTACTTCGTGGACGTTAAAGACGGCCAGGTGGAATTGACTGCTGCTGCTGCCGAAGCGTTCAAGGCCAGCAAAGAAGCCTTAGCTAAAGCCGTTATGCTTCATCACTTCGATCCGAACGCTCCGCTCAGTGTTGCTGTTGACGCATCGGACACCGCCATTGGCGCCGTCCTACAGCAACATACAAATGGAGGCTGGAAACCTCTTGCATTCTACTCTAGACGCCTACAACCTGCCGAAGTCAAGTACAGCACGTTCAGTCGCGAACTGCTGGCCGTTTACTCTACAGTTCGACATTTCCGACACGTCCTCGAAGGTAACACCTTCATTATCTTCACCGATCACAAGCCGCTTATCTACGCATTCCGAAATCAATCAGCTCGACACTCACCACGTGAGATTCGTCAGCTGGATTTCATTGCCCAATTCTCGACTGATATCCGACACATTTCTGGTCAACAAAACGTCGTCGCTGATGCTCTTTCAAGAGTATCTGCGATTGGCCCTGCCGGGCAGGCAATCGATTTGTCTGCTATGGCCGCCGCGCAATCAAACGACCAAACTTTTCGAAACTCCGCGATTCTTCTTTGAAGATATCCCCGCACCCTCTGCCGTCATCTGATGGTACCATTTTATGCGACACATCTACCGGACGACCTCGACCCGTCGTTCCAGAAACTTTTCGCCGTATCGTTTTCGACACCCTCCACAATATCGCCCACCCAGGCATTAAAGCTACTGCTAAGCTTGTCTCTGAGAGATACGTTTGGCCGGGGATGCAACGCGATCTTACGCGCTGGGCACGCAGCTGTCTCACCTGCCAGCAAGCCAAGATTCAGCGGCACGTGTCCGCTCCGCTTGGTCGCTTTCCGTCCGTTTCAGCGCGATTTGCCCATGTCCATCTCGACATAGTGGGACCTCTGGCCCCGTCCAAAGGAATGGTCTATATTTTGACCATGATCGATCGTTGCACCCGTTGGCCCGAAGCCGTTCCCATCCCTGACGTAGCTGCGGAAACCGTAACACGCGCTTTCGTCGAGCGCTGGGTCGCTTCACACGGCTGTCCAGCCACAGTGACTACAGACCGCGGTCCGCAATTCGAATCTACGACCTTTAACGATCTCCTTAAACTCATTGGATGCCAACGCATTCGCACGACCGCCTATCATCCGCAAGCGAACGGCATGGTGGAACGTTTCCACCGACAGTTGAAAGCCTCACTTAGCGCCGCCAATGCGCTGAGTTGGACTGAGGTACTGCCTATGATCCTCCTTGGGATCCGATCAGCCCTAAAGGCCGATCTACGTACGTCTAGCGCCGAGTTAGTATATGGACAACCACTGCGTTTACCTGGCGATTTCTTCTCCGTTAGTCCCAGAATTACCCGTTACGACGCAAATTATGCACGCCAGCTTGCCACGAGCATGCGTCAGTACAAGCTTCCCAACGTTAGAGAACAACAACGTAAATCTTTTGTTCCACAAGACCTGCAGCATTGTCCGTTCGTTTTTATCCGCCTCGATGGTCTCCGCAGACCATTGGAGCGACCTTACGAAGGTCCCTTCAGGGTTCTGCAGCGTAAGGACCGCGTCTTTATAATCGACCGTCACGGTAAACGTGAAGCTGTTACGATTGACCGTCTCAAGGTTGCCCACGTGGAACCTGAGCTCGACGAAGACCCTTACTTGTCTTCTGACGACTCAACGCAGCCTATGATGGAAGACTCGACTGCTTCCAACATCTCTGACCCCAAGTATCACGCTCCATCTAAGTCTTCTACTTCATCTCCGCCGCTTCCCATCGAACCAACTGCCACGTCTTCAGCAGTTCCTCCAATTTTGCGATCCGATAGGACGTCTAAGACCACGCCTTTCTCTGATTCGAACAAGTCGACTAGGTCGGGTAGACGCGTTCATTGGCCAGCTCGATTAAGGGATTAGGGCTTCTTTCACCTACCTTATCGTTTTTCTTTTCCCTTTTGGCCAACAAGGTACCAAACCCCCCAAAAGCTTTTGAAAACGCCAAAAAACCGACAAACTTTTTTTTGAAAACCTAAAAAGAACGCAAAATGTTTTGAAAACCCAAAAAAAGAACAAAACGTTTTGAAAACACAAAGAAAGCTGCGTTTTGTCTGACGCCTACCTCATCCGGTAAGTGTCACTCTTGCTTTTGCCCTCGCCTCCACCGTCAATGCTCTTGTTTCCGTTTTTCTTCCATGTATGAACCGGAGGAGATACCAAGTCTGAAGCGAACATTTGACCTTCACGAACTCGCCAACACCTAACGCTCACGTACTTCCCCCCATTTTGTGTTTTTGGCACCGTTAGGGAGGACACGGGTGGGAGCCCGCTAGGGTCCGATCGCCTGGTTCTCCCCCAGCAGCTGCATCAGGTTTCACTACCTGGTCTTGCAGAAGGCTGGCCGGCGACGGACAGTCCTCACGTAGATCGAGGAATCACCCACGGTTTCCCTTCTAGGAGGGGGGCTGTGTAGCGACCTGGAGATTCCCCCGTATGACTGTGTAAACTATGCTAAAATATTCAAATTATAGCTTTCTTATGTATTAGGGAACCATTCGGTTTGCCTGTTGGAACGTTGTTCCCGTTGGTTGGAAACACGAAAACGATCTCCGCCTTTGGCACGCGGCTCGACTGCGAACGACGCTCCGTCTACGCTCTCGACGCCAACGACATTCTCCCTAGCTAGCTCTCTCCGGGTGCCTTACTTTTAGCATTAGCTAACGCTCCTCCCGTCCAATAAACTTCTCCCATAGCTTACTTTTGTGTCTTCTGTCCATTGCTTTTGGTTGGCCGTCTAGTCGCGTACCGGATATATAGCGCACGATCTACGCGCTATAGGGACTCACACATCTTATAGGACCAGTTAATAATAGTCCGAGACGATGCGCGGAATAAAGCGAGGATATCAGAAGGCAATTGGAGTCGGACACAGCGGACTGTATTCGATGGGCTACAACAAGAAGCGGACGGATGAAGCGAGGCAAGAGCGTACACGTGAGCGACCGTGCTCCACAACGGTCGGTGATCAGCAGGGGACTGCGCGGACCGGGACTCTCACATCTGAGTTTTGCCTTGCGGCGGGTTTGGTTCGGTAAGTATACTGTTGCAGTCTGGAGCTTCCCCGGTTTGCTTGTGTAAAATTCTAACCAAAACTCTATAATTGTACACTTAGGCAACCGGTGTGGTTTGTTGAACTGCTTGCTGAGTTCGAATGCTTTACTTGCTCATCTCCATTTTTGCTTGGCGCTCGTTTCGGTTGCAACGCGCAACTGCTCTGTGTGCTGTGCTTGCTCCGTTTCCCTAGCTAGATCGTCCACGGTGTCGTTCATTTATAGCTTGCTAACAGGGAATCTTTTGATGAAACCAATAAAAGTTTCCCTGCAACTCGATCTGTCTTCTGGAATCGCTCTCTTGGCTCCCGGAATAGGCAACCCTCTAAATTGGTGACCCCGGATCCGGAACAATCTCAACGCCGGATATGTCGAACTTTTCTCCGGTGAGCTCGTTCCATTTATTTTTCATATTTTCATATTTTTATTTTTGCATACGGTAGCCTATTTTTTGCGTCATTGTTTAAGCCATGTATTCTGTAGAACCTAAGGTAGAGTCTATGCTTAGCGTTGTATCTCTCTCAGTTCCACCTTTTAGGGACGTGTATCCTGTTTTGTGGTTCGCTCATCTTGAGGCCGAGTTTTATAACCACAGAATCACTTCCGACCACGCGAAGTACTGCAAACTCCTGTCCTATCTCCCCAAGGAGATATCAATGCAGGTTCGTGATGTCATCATTTCTCAGACCGAAAACCGCTAGGAGGCTCTCAAGGAGGCCACGATTAAGCGTGTTATGCCTTCTGAGAAAGTTCGCCTGCAGCAGCTTTTCAGGGATCTGCAACTGGG